TATATATATATATAGATATATCACAAAGGCGACGGCGCAACGAAACTCTCAATTTGTGCATGGAGTGAAACGCCGACCGGTTACCGGTGCAAACAACACCTCGTCGGTAGGCGAGGCGGGCTTCCTCCATGGTGTCCCACCACTCAATCTTGATGTGCTGCTTGACCGTGCAGATTTCACCCAAAACGAGGATGCCTTGAAGGCCTTTGCTAATCCGAAGTTCCTTATCACACGCCTGCTGGGCTGTGTTCAAGCCAAATTCGCCAAGGGCCGCTTGGGGGATTTTAGAGTTGATGGGAGGGGCTAGTGCATATCAGAATGGCAATAGCACATGTCTCAAGCAGACGCTTGGATGCCCGGCAGGATGCACTTGATGAAGTCGTCGAAGTCGATGATGTCGGGCAGGCCCTGGGGTGGAGGATGCTTTCGGGGGATGGGAAAGCACAAATGAGGACGAGTGAACGACAGTGAAATTATGACATAGTGAGATCATGATGTGATGTGCGATAGTTTAAAGGTTGGCAGAAGGCTAAGTAAGTATCAGTGCCAGGCATCCATGTGTAAGTGCAAGTGTGGCAACGACCCTGTGCATGGCCATGTGAAGCCCCATTAAGTGGAGACGCTCTGGCCCGAAAAAAGGAAGTAAAGGCACCGCCATGTGTCCGACACAATAAAGGAAGTGATGGCTTGCAGATGAAAGATGCCCGATGCGTTGCCCGTGGCAAGTACGCTAGCTCTTTTGCTCTAGCGATGTTGGCATTGTCGGTTCGGCTGCAGCAAAGCTGTCTGCAAGTGAATCGCATTGGTCCAGGTCCACAGCCTCGGGTGTGACCTGCTCACGAGGGTGCAACTCCGCCGCAGTCTTCCCCTCAAAAAGTAGGGGCCGGCACCTGGATCGTTTTGCCGACGATCAATGCGAGCTTTAGGGGGCTGCGGTAGCAATCGCGGAGGGGCGCTAGCCGAGAACCCCTACCAAAACCAAACCCAAGCGGTGCAATGACAGGCTGGGAAACTTGACTGGGCGGTCGCACGGGTTCAAGGGGAGGTGGTGTTGAAGGTGGGGGCGGAATAGGCAACACAGGCACCGGGGTTGTTCTGTCGCCCCGTCCTGACACCAAAACAACGGGTGCACGACTGCGGCTTCGACTGCGCAGCTCTGGCTTGCTTTCTTCGCCTACATTGCAAGAGAAGTGCTGCGGCGCCTGGATCGCCGACTATGCTCTCTGCTGTGCGTGCCGTGCGCCCTGCGGCGCCTGTCAGGGTTGTCCTGGCGAAGACTGGGCCCCACTCCTGTTGCATCTGCGCAGTCGGTGTTGCAGCTCTCGTGCAACATCCTAACAATCGGGCGACGGGAGCTGGAGCGGCAGTCTTGTTGCCGAACAGCAAATGGAACAGAGAAAGGGAGAGCGGGAACATTACAGAAAAACCAGGCAACGGGGAAACGGTTAGCAACACAACAGGTCACGGAGAACGCACCTGCGCTTGCAATACACTTGCACTGATCGAATCGTCTCACACTGCCTGAACCAAGCCTGGGTTGCGGTGCCTGACCCCAAACCGGCGAAAGAAACCCTGCGCACTCAGTCGATTCACACAGCGGCTCACTTATGCGCCAGTCTCAGAAGGAAGGCGATGAAAAGCACCCGAGTCACACTCGCAAAACGAATGTACCTGACCATGATGATGATTTGAAGAATGAACATTTCAGATTGTCAACCTTGGCGTTATCATCCGGTATTGCCGGCATGGGCTTTCGCCCACTGTGATCTGGCCCCCTGTCGGGATTTCCAGAACAACACACACTTCAGCTCGGTACGAATGACTGCGGTGAGCGACCGACAGGACCAAAAAACGACAGATGGTGGCAACAATACAGAATCACAGAAGGCCAATTGTGGAAGCAACAGCTTCTTTGGGGTATTTTGGGCTGGCCTTTGCGCAGGTACACCAAGCTGATCAGACGTGGCTTCCCTCTCTGATGCACAGCTTCGTTGGGTACGGCAACACCAGAGAGCCGTGCCCCCCTGCGGTATCTCTTACGGTCTCACTCGATGGCCGCCATGTACAGGCGCGTACACACACACACGCCTTAATCAGCTGACGACCCTCTGATGCCGGAGACAAACCAGCTTTCATCCAGGGATCGTTTGGGCGCATGTCAGCACCATGGTCCAACAGAATCTGGCACAAGTGCTCGTCTCCTTGCGCCCAGCGAGCATGGGTCACGAGGCACGCATTCAAGGAAACAATTTGCTGGCCTTGATAACTAGAGTAACTAGATGATGATGATGATGATGATGATGATGGTGATGATGATGCTGATGATGATCATGATGAAGCTGATGCCGATGGTGATGGTGATGATGATTGTCGGCACAGCAAGCCGTCTGGAAGCCCTAGAATCCATAAGCCCATCAGCCCTTTCTCGACGACCCTAGCTCGGACGCTGCACGAAGCTCTTGTCATGCAGCTCAAGTGGCCAATGAAGGCCGCCGTTCCCAATGGTGTTATGCCAGGAATGCTGGCGAGCATCCTTGCAGAAACCCATTACGGCTTTCGTCTCATTCAATACGGACCTAAAAAACAGACCATGACGAATATCAATTTACTAACGTTTTTGCAACGTGCCGCCTAGCCGAGATGTGTTCACGCTGGCTCCGGGTGAGAAGAAACTGCTGGAAGTTCGAAATTCTCAAGTCAATGCATAAAGTCTGGACAAGAAGAAGGCCTTCTGACGTTGCTGCCCAGTGTCCGAGTAACATAGGAGCCGTTCTCGAAACCAGCCAGTGCTGCCACTATCCGCGCACACCGACACTCCCAGTCAAAGTAGCCTGGGACATCGCATGTCTGATGAGCTGGCTCCAAGCTGCACAGGTGAATCTGACTGCTCTGCAAATAACATGATATGCCACGGTTGTTTATGAAAAACAGCAAAACAAGGTTCCGGAGTCGACAAGTGGCCATTAGGCGTTGCAGGGGCATTGACATCTGCACGCTGTTGGATCAGCAAGGTTGCGATCTCGGCGGCAAACCGATTGCCCCGAGAAAACATCGCACAAGCGTGCAATGGAGTGTAGCCTGCATTCACAGATTGCAATGCATGGTCACATTTTGGGGCAACTTGTCTCTTGCGGCTGCCGTCACAGAAGGGTATGACGGTGCAACCTTGACTGTCTGAGCTCGGGGAATCCATCAAGCCATAGATTGCCAGAATGTGTTTCACTTGGCACAGAATATCGCGAAGCAGTGGAAATGTGCTGCGGGAGTGCGGCCACTAAGTACAGTACACATCTTGGCTAATGCGCTATGCGGCTATTTCGCGGTTCAAGTGTTGTCGAAAACTTTGCAGATCTCTGCAGCCAACTACGACCCACGACCGGGGCTTGCAGCCAAACCTCATCCCTTCTTTGCTCTGTATTGTTCATTCGTGCAATTTCGTGCAGCGCTGAGCCTTCCAAGCCTACTACGGGCACTACGGCGCGACGGGTGAGCGCATTCTGACAGGCGTGAGCCTTCGCCCTGGCTGTTGACGCTCGCCCGGGCCGCCAAGATCGCCTTGACGGTACCTGAGATGACAGTGCAGGGAAGTACTGACGAAGATAGAATGGTGGATGCACACGACCAGAGACGTCGGGCAAAGGCGCTTGGGTCCGCAAAGGAACAGGCTCCATGCACTTCGAAGGACGAGCTGACATCCATCCGAGCCTGTCTGCTTCACGGGCTGCCAGCAAGCCGAATAGAAGAACACAACAGGCCCTAAGAAATCAGGAGACGCAGATCAAACAGGTAAGAACACTGCAACAAAGTTACGAGTAACGCACTAAACAAACATCTCCTCTCTGCATTTGGCAGAAACTCGCTCTCGAATGGTGCTTATTCGGGAGCTTCGCCTCTATGTAACTACGCCAGGCTCTCCACGACTCTCTCTAGCTGTGATCTGTTTACATCACCCCACCGCCTCCAGCAGAACCTTGACTTGACCAGGAGATCTGGCGAGAAATGCGCAGTTGATGCCTCGGCTCTTAACAACCTGTGACGGCATGATCCACTCTGCCTCTAAGACTCCAAGCGAAGGGAAACTCAACAGCTGGCAATTTTGCACCCGTTGACCGCCAGCGAAATCCATTGCTGTCCGTAGGCAACCCGATGGGGACTCACACAACAGCCATGCAGGCAAGCACAGGACCCCAAACCCGCCGGTCACGCTGCCTTGTGTGGCAGTTAACTTGAACAGACAACCCGAGACCACGCTTGTCAAGCGCACCACACAATCTGTCAGTAGGCATCAAACTCTCGCAAGGAACCAATGATGTTTAGAGGAGGGGACCAGGTAAATTTAAGGCCCCCACCCCCCTCCCCCTGATCCGCGAATTGATACGAGCTTCAGGGCTTCAAAACGTTGAAACTCGTACAGATTGGAGCTTCGCTGCTGCTCCTTTTTCACAAGGGGCGCTGGTGCTCCCGAAGACTCTATCTTCAGAGCTTCGCTAATTATACACTCCAAACGGTGTAATTAACTAACTACGAAGCGTGCGTCAAGAGTCCCACACCAAAAGCAACATGGCCGGGAACCCGATTCAAGGGCTACAGGACTTGCCCGCGCCGAGGCGACGTTATCTTAGCTCAGCAATACCCTGCCACGCTGACAGAGCAGGGACTTTGTACGATTGCGCGCCTTGAATGCTGGCTAGCAGAGCTTATCTCAAGATCCTCGAGAACGGAGCCCTGGATGCCACAGAAACACACTCCCTCCACACAGGAATCCCAAGCGGCCACTTCGTGAGACGGCGCACGGATCAGCGTTCAGCTCGATGAGCGAAGAAAGCCTTGGTCCGAGAGATCCGTGGGCTGCATGCGCCGTCTTGTGGCAACAAGGCTCCTCTCCGTTGGAAATGCAATCCTCAACATGTCCCTGCGGAAGGTGGTGCGCAGTTGTTAGCCCTTTTGTATTGGGGGGCGCCCCCTTTTTTTCGGAAGGGGGGGTGGGGGCCGGTGTCGTGCGGTTTGTTAAGACAGTACATTTGCTCACTGTATGTTACGCGATTCCGTGCAGTCCCCACAGAAGCCGCTCTTTGCGACACCCTTCCGACCCTTTTAAGGAGACGCTTCAGTGTATACATCCTATGCGTGCCATGTAGGTATTTGTCATGCACATATGACAATATAATATAAGATGCATAAATACATCTATATATATATATATGTATTTATATATATATATATATTATATGTGGTCAGGCCCATGGTCCAGGATGCCCCCCCCCCCCGCTGTCGGTGGGGTGTGGGGTCCCTCTTCCCCCCTGTGGTTGTGGGATTTTGGGGTTGGGGTTTAGCTTAAGCTTTCGAGTTTGGGGTTTAGGGTTTAAGGTTAAAAGATACAGGGCTTCGAGTCGACAAGAGCTTAGGGAGGGTTTGGGGTGTAGGCAGGGTGTAGGTTGGTGAGGGTGACGGTTTATGTTCTGCTTCAAGCTTANNTAGAGCCTGCATTTAGGCGGGGTTTAGGGTCCCTCCCTTCCTTCCCCCCCACCCGAGGCACGAAAAAAGAGTGCCAAAAGAAATGGGCCCAAAAAACATAAGTTCCCATCCAGCCAAGACTCACATCTGCAGGCTGGGACGACTTCGCAGCAACCATGAGCAAGGTCTGGGTGTCGTAGTAGCCTGCGATTCGGAAGCACAAAGGTATGGACAGCACGCTCGTAACACGCCTTCCACCAACGATACGCTGATTGATTCTGGAATTGAATTTAGCACCAACATCGGTGCCGGCCCAGACTTGGAGACAAAGACGAGGCTACAAGCGGCCAATGCCTAGTTCACCCATACCACGCATTCGCCGGTTCGGGTCGCCCCCTCAGTCTCAGGATTGGGTGCAAGGGAGAGGACTGTAAGCAGGCTGCAAGGCACTGAACCCTTCGAGATTCTGCAAGCATAGGCAGAGACAGACACAAAGTCAGGCCATCAATTTCGGACTCTGGCCATAAGGCCATCAGCACCAGTCATTTACGACTGCTGACAAGGCACTCTTCTCAACCAATCTGCGCAGGATATTCACGGCCCCGGCAAAGACAGCTGTTGCCTCAAATTGATGTGCAGCTTAGCTGCGCGCAGTCGTAAATATTTCTCCAACGGTGTCAGCAATCAAGAGGGTCTCTGAATAAAGCGCTTCTCTTTGCAGCCGCTGACACCATGCCATCCATACCGCTGTCATCGTTTATTGCCGCCTTTCGTGGCTTGTTCCTACTCGCTTCGCCGCAACTTTCAAATACCGGTTCACCAACCTCAACACTCTCAAAGTTGAAGCTGGACAAGAAGGCGTCGAGGCTCAGGTCCTGAAGTACGAGTAACAAATCACAAACCTGCGGTCCGCAAGGCTTTGCTAAACAGGCTGAACTTCTGAAGGCAGACAGTAGTCATACACCCTCCATTCTCCTGCCGCGGCTGACCGAGCAGCTTGTTGCGCATTGCCTCCAAACTCTCAGCGCAACGGTTCGGCTGGGACACTGCTTCTGGCCAGTGAAACACAAAACTCGGCCCTACCTTGCGAAGAAAGTACTGGCAAACCGGTGTTTGTTCAAGTCAATCTCCTCAAAGCCAACCCAGCCTTGTAGAAGCGGTATCCCTTCAGCCTTGGATCACCCCGACAGACCAACAGTCAGAGGACGTGGCTGGCTGAGCAAGCACGGCACCCTGCGGTCAACTCCCCGGCATCTCGATGTTCATTCTACTCTGCCAGTCTTTTTCTTCCAAGTGACGGGCCCTCGACGGCCAAGTGTTGAATCTTACCTCGGGGCCGAAGCCCAAAGTGCGAACATGGCAGCACCACTGTGCGTCCTTCATGGAAACAGATTCATGCGCCGGCGTCGCTGGTCTGGTGCGGACAACTTATTTTGCACGTTTATTCAGGGAAGTTCAGGTTCCCGGCCCAAGCCCGACAAGTACAAGTAGAACAAACGAACTAACCAAAGCATCTTAACTTCCTGGTTGCTTTCGACTGCCATCTCACCCAGTCGAACCACAGCTTCGCGATCACTCTCCTTAGTTTGCTGCATCCGCTGTCGGATTCGCGCTTCAACCAGGCGATATGACAGAGCTATTTACATCACCTTAGAGCCGTCCTATGTGCTGTTTCCGGCTGCTAGGTGCGGCAAATTCTGACCGGACCATCATCCTCGCACACATGCATCTGCAACACGCACTTTTAAAGCACGACCCCCACCTTCTCCTGCTGATGTTGCTTGCCGAGCAGCCACAGTGAACTGGCCGTCAGCGATCAGATTTTGTTGCCTATCCGACGAGAAAGGCTTCTTTACAAGAACTGCAGGAAGCTGTCCAATCCGGCGAGAAGTGGGGGTACGGGATGCTTGCTGGAGGTTGTTGGAATTTGAAGCTCAAAAATTTATCGAATGGGAGGGAAGCGTCGAGCGAACTTGCAGAGCAGCATGACATCATAACTGTGCGCGAGCATGTGGTCCGACACTGTTGGGAACTGTTTTTCTATGAAAGCGTCACTCGTCGAGCGCACGCCCGACATATACAGGTCTGCCATAATGGGTCCAAGCTTCCAATCCAATGGGAAGATGAACTGGGCTTCCCGAGCCGAGTAAACGACGATCACACTCGTGTTCCTCCTTGCACGGTGCGTCGGTTGGGGGTGGTGGACTGTCTCTCTTAGATGAACTGATCTCTAAGAAAAGGATCGGCAACAGCTCGCAGCACGGTTCTCAACCTCAGACCCTGTGAGCCCACGTTGTCGCAAAGACATGGGGCACACAAGACAGGCTGACATCATGTGCTAATTATGCTGATTATACTTCTACAATTTACAAGCTTGCTGAATCCGAGGAGCTTGTTGGAGAGAAGTCGGCACCACAGCTCAGCGCGGCACCTGGTAAAGTATATGCAAACAGCCAGCATGTGGATCGTTGTGCACTTGCAGACAGGGTCTGGCGATTACTACAAATATTTTGGCGCCATAGGCTTTTAGTCAGTGCATGCACGTCTTACTCCGAGGTACTGGCGCTGATGAACTTGGTGGCAGCAGACTGTCCTGGTGTCACTACCTGCCAGACACCATCCAGCGACTGAGGTGTATGCCAGCCACGCGAGAGCCATGAAGTGTAGTTGCAGGGCTTGCCTTGGCCATTGGCAACAAGGCTATGTTGGACGCTTTTGTACTCAGGTTCGTCCCTTCGTGAGCCAAGCGGGCTGATGATTCGCACTCACACGGCGAGGCGGCGAATACTCGAGCACTACAAGTAGCGCAACGTATCACCGCTGGTTGCTGGAGGCATACCAGGAATCAACAAACACGATTCTGTCGAGATCTCTCGTGTCTGTCCCCTTGAACGGCCTTAAGCCTTACTTTACCTCTTCTCGCTGCACTTCCAGAGTGCGGGTCCCGGCGTGGGTCAGTTCCGGAACCAGGGCAATGAAGAGATCCTGGCTGCTGATCTGGATCCAATGCTGAATCATGGCAGCCACCAAAAAGGCATGAAAGCAGGAACATGATCGTATCGGTTTAACATTGTGTGACAGCATCCGCCGGATCAACACCGGGGCTGCTTCACAACCAGTCAGATTTGACACTTCATAAACCACTGAAGCTCCGCGAACATATCACAGGAGTCAGAGCCAACCAATGTTCCGCGCCGCTCGCACGAAAGATTAACTGGGCCCTTTCTCGAATGCCGAAAATGTAGCGACGGCCCGTTTTCCTGCTGATTATATGGTCCGACTGCCCGAACGATGCATGACGTGTCTCCATGCACATCCTGGGCAAAAAACACGCAGCAATCAAATCAGCCACGTCCAATGTGAACTTCGTCCAAGGATCGGATACTTCCACATACGCCGGGATGCTCTGGACCTTCAAGGCGAGCTTGCCAGGATACCCAGACCCGATTCTCACACATGCCGCAAATCACTTCGGCTACAGTCTGAAGCTTCCACAGATCAGAGGCCACCACCGCCAGGGCAGCATCGGACTTGGTAACGTTCTCATTTACTCCTGCGGCCGCTTCGACGGGTCCAAACAAGTCGGACGACTCGCGTCCGGTGCGTGTTTGTGGCATCGTTATCAACGTTCACTACAAACATGGCATGACCGCTGCATTATCTGTAGCACTCTGGTCTAAAGCTTGGCCGAGACCATTGGCTCGTGAATTGCAGCACCAGCATGCACTTTCCATTCTCTGACTCACTGAGTAACGACACAATCACATGGACCTTGCTTCCGGGCGGTGATCTGTGGGATTGCGAACCAATCGAAGAAGATATAACCATTGGCGAATTCTTCACAAGAATACGTCCTCGGCCCACGCGATGGGAGTTGTTGCATCTGACCACTAGAAATGCCGATTGGACAACTCCACAACATGTTGCACAGTCGTCCAAGCGACTGCACATGAGACACGCACGCACATTTGTACACGAAGACCTGGCCTGAAACTTCAAGCTGCAACACTGCAGAACGACGGTATGCTTATGATCAGCTTCTGGGTCTGCCTCAAGCCATCAGACTTACCCAAAAACACCAGGTTAATGAGACCTGGCTGCTTGCTCTGATGTTGCGCTGCGCTCTGCGCTGCCCTGGGTGCGCTATTCTTGCTTTTTCTGCAGAAGCTGGAGGACTCGTGGCTTACGATCAGAATGCAAACGTACATCAAGGTGGCTGCAGTGAAACACCATGTGTCACTGACAATGGGTCCGAAGTGAAAGACCAAGAGTGAGTCAATTCACTTAAAGAGTGATGGAGACGAACTCACATGCACCCCTAAGTAGGGGCCGAAGTCCCCGTAATCTCCTCCGTACAGGACAAAAAGAGAGATTAAGTCCGACAGGACCCAACCCCCAATCAACCTGTCAAGGTATCAAGGGAGGGAGGGTGGGACAGAAAAGTGTTGAATCGAAGAAGAAGATGACCTTGGCATTCAAGTTCATAGCAGACCCTACACCAACCAACCGTCCGACTATGAAACACAGAATGCAAACGTACATCAAGGTGGCTGCAGTGAAACACCATGTGTCACTGACAATGGGTCCGAAGTGAAAGACCAAGAGTGAGTCAATTCACTTAAAGAGTGATGGAGACGAACTCACATGCACCCAATGTTCCAAAAGTCCCTGCAGCACGCACACCCATTGTTTCACTGAAGCAGCCACTCGAGGATCTTGGTCCGAAAAGCGCTAGCCGGAAACGTGTATTCCACGAGATTCCAGTCCTGAGAGCGGCTCCAGTCGTCTCGCAACCCCAGCCTGCTCAACCCGTCGCTCGGGTTGCTTTCGGAGTCTATCCACTCAAACCAAGCACGGCATCCGAGCTGAACTCGCACGCAAGCGGCCGCCACAGCCACTTCATGTACATCGTCTTCACGGGAGGATGCCTTGATAGTAGTGGAGACAGCAGCAGAGTTGTCTATGAACCATAAAGTATCAGCTCCTTGAAAGAGAAGGGGCTGCAAAATCGGCACAATGAGCGCTGCCATGGTTTCGCCGATGAAAATTTGTTGATCACGCTCCTTCCATTCGCGAATGGCCTCTGGAGGCACTACGCATGTCCCCGCGGAAGCACGAGCGGGAGCAGGTGGGAATATGACCCACCCGATTCGCAGCTCGTTGTCCTCGAATGATGCATCCGTGTACACAGTGGTGACAGGTTTGCAGCAATCGGAGACGTCCACATCTCGGGGCCCAGCGTGAGTAATCATATGCCGCAAGGCAAGCAAGATACTCCGCGAGGCAGGACTCAAGCAAGGATCATCTCCCTTTTGGTGGCGGGCCAAAGTGGGCGCTGCGATCTTGCCTGCATGTCCAGAGACCATGGAGAAAAGCCACTGCAAGTCACCCCGAAGCTTACCGGCACCGTCGCGGTCCAAAGCACCAGCTACAAGGATGTTGTCCAAGCTGTTTAAGACCTTGCAGCGAGTCAGGAACTTGGGCTGAAAGCGCACCTGCAAGCTCAAGTTGGCTGCGCCCACGTGCACCGAGGTGCCCAGGTAGTGCCGATTTGCCGCAGGAGGGAAATGCTTAGAGGGCTGGGGCGGGCTACCTAGTAACCGAAAACAAAGGTGCAACCCCAACCTCAAAACATCTTGATGCAGCAGGAACTCGACAGACAGCTCGTCGTCAAAGTAAGCCGCACACATGGACGAAGTGCACCTCCTCGCAGCAGCCACTCCGAGAAGTGGTAGCCTGTTGAAGGCCACCACGGCAGCTTCAAGTCCGTAGGCCAAGCCATACAGGATCGTAAAACGCCACCCGGTTTTGGGCACAAAGATGGCAACGATGCTCAGTGGAAGGTGATCTTCGGAGACCGGGTGGCCGCGATAGGCATCTGGCAAGTCATCCGTACCAAGCCGAGGTGCCAACCAGTCAACACGCTGCGGATCACAACCATGACGTCGCAAGCAATTGAAGGTGTCCCTGATGCAGGAAGCGACAAAGTCCACGCTAACCGTATGGATAGTCTCGGACAAAGCAGCATGCAGGTTGTGCTCAGTCTTCCTGCAGTTGTCGACCAGGCGCTTTTTGTTATCGCCCTGAACCAAAAGGAAGCGCTCCATCGGTCTCCAGCGGCCTCGACCAAAGAGTTTGTCAACCTCAGCACGCGTGTAGAGCTGGCTGCAAAACCCCTGGCTCTGCTCCTGGAGTGTCTGCTCAAGGATTTCATCGGCGCAGCGCGGGGGTGGCGATCGTAAGAGCGAATCCACAGCCGATTGGCCATCACGAAGCAGCCACTCCTCCACTGTCTCGGGAGTCTCCTCTTCGCCGCGGTTCACTGGGCGAAACACACCTGAGAAAGCGACCTCCCCCACTATAGGAAACCCATGAACGAAGCAAGCAGCTTGGCCATGGTCAGGCCAGCGAAGGATGGCCGTCAGCAGCGCCACGAAAGCTGCATTCTTGGACAAAGACACCTTGATCGCACTGGGACACAGGAGCTTCTCTAGGGCAACTTTAAGGGGGTCAACCGCTCTCTGCAAGGTCTGCAAAACATGACGCTGTCGTTGTGCCAGCACCGGGAGTTCATCTTTCCACACCGCGATGGAGTAGGCCACAAACTGCACGTCATCATCGGGCCATGGCGCCGCCTCAAAAGGCGAGGGCAAAGACAGAGCCTGACGCATATGCTCTTGCTTCCCCAAGCCAGGAGGCAGCAGGTGGTCTAAGCCCTTTGCATGCTCTGAGGAATATCGTTGGCCGGAGTTGCCAGCCAAGATCCGAGTTCGGGCTCGGGCATGCAAAAGCGCCGGGGGAAGGAAAGTATGGTCCTGCCCCCTCGTACATTGCCAAGCTGCAAAAGCCTGCATGAGCGGCAAGTCACATGCTGCCAACCTCCTCTCACAAGATTCCCACACAGACTGGTGCACCGGACAAGCTTTCAGTTGTGAACGCATGTGCTCGGTGACCTCGTGCGCATCAAGCAGCCCAGGGAAACACGACAAACGACCTGGCTCCCAGACTGTGTTCACAAGGCGGCCTCGAAGAGGATCAGAGCAATGGCGGGGCACCGCGACCCGCGAATCACAAAGCTGAGGCAGCATCGCGAAGAGAACCATAATTGAAGGGATATGAAAGCCATTTCCCAACAAGGAGTTTCGGGCTTGAACCCTTTGGGCCGGTGGCCCTGGCACCGCTTCGGTAGCGGAGGACGGGATCCCGAGCATCTGACTCCGCTCAGCCGGGTTCAACTGCCTCCAATCAGTGCGCCTCCAGGCTAAGGAATGGGCCTCGTAAGACCCGGGCGGGAAACGACGGCTGTCCTGATGAAAGCGAGCTGCAGCATCAGGAGACACAGTATGCAGCAGGTCCGCGGGGTGGTAAAATTCCCGTGTGAATGTGGAACCCGCTGGCGACTGGCCACGCATGACCTCAAGCGGGTCTGAAATCCACTGAAAACCATCCTGAAAGTGCACACGAGACGGGATGGGCTTCCTGGTATCATAGCACAGAGTGAGCTGATCACCAGGCCCGCGGCTCCAAGACCAGCCGGAAGGCGGATCGGCTGAGGTCAGCACCCGGTTGCGTCCCCTAAGCCAGTATAGCCTATTACGAGAAGTCCAGCCGTAAAAAGCAGCATCCGAACGGGCAGGCTGGCAATCGAGCCACTGGGAGTACTGCCTGACAACCTCCGCGGGAGCACTGGCCACATTCTCAAGAAAGCTGACCACCTCAAGATGCCGGAAAGCTTCATGATGCAGGAGGGATTGCACAAGCTCCTGCAAGAACAAAGGAGCGCGCCCGCGCGGGTCCTGCAGGCCTTTCTTTCCCAAGTTCAGAGCCGAATTAGGCTGGCAAGGGCTGCCTCCTCCAACTATGATCCCACGAAGCTTGCAGCGGTGCACGAGGGGCAGAAGCATCTCTGCCGAGACACAGCGAACATCTGGCACGTGCACCAAGGAAGGCATGACACTCTGGGCACACAAACGCGCTTCGGCTGAAGACTCAGCTGCAAGCCCATAAAAGTGCAAACCCAGAGAAAGCAAAGCAATGCAAAGCCCGGAAAACCCTGCCCACAGGTCAAGAACAAGCCACGCCCCCCCCGGCGGGCTAAGTCCTGGTATCTGAATCAGATCCCCAGCTCCTCTCCAGGTGACCGGACGCGCTGCTGCCATACGACTGGCGAGAGCCTGAGCATCCATGTCTGACGGCGGCAGCAGTGCAGGTGCAGAGTGGGAGGTCTCCCCAGGACGAGGGAGCCCAACGATTTGGGGGATTTCTCCATGGCCCGACAGGCTGACACTGCGAGAGTCAGAGGGTGGGAGCAATGACACAGCTCGCTGACCTTGCTCCAGATGGCTGACCTCAGAATCCTTAGCACCATCCGGATGGATGTGACCTGGGAAGCGCAGATCCAAGAGCAGTCGGCGGTCGGCCTCCGGCAATCTCTCGGCATGAGACGGGGTAAATCCCGTGAGAGCCCAGCGGTCGCCTGTCCAGGGCAGCGAAGCATGCAGTTGCTGGGGGCAGAAAGAGAAGCCCAAATTGTGGGTATTAACAGCCTTGCCCATAACATCATTTCCCGTCTCCGGCATGGGCAGAGCAACATCACCATCATGCTCATCGGCAATCCATAGCTGGCCACCCTGAAAATCACCGACACACACCGAGTGGTTAAGTGAGTTTACAGCGTTTCGGCGGTCCGTGTGTGGCCGCGCAGCCTGATTATGGGAGATGGCAATACTGATCCACTGCTGTCCTGGAAACCGGCGCCTCAGCCAATTGTTGAGGTACCTCACTTCAGCAAAGGACTGGCGCGTCTTGGAAGTGATGCCCACGGCACCCGGGCGAGAAAACGCCCCAAGCACAAAGTAAAAGACATCACTGCCCTCACCTAAAACCCCCACACGACGATTTTGGGTAGGTTTAGGGAACATGCTTTGCAGGAGGGACAGGCAAGCTGCTTCGGAGAACTCGGCTCTCTGAGTCAAGGCTTCGGCCAATGCCGATGAAGAATCAACAGAAATCGGCACATCCAAAGCATGCACTAAAGCAGCGGCCTCAGAGACATGTGGAGACAGGTCCCCCCCTCAGGAGGA